GAAGGAAGGAAGGAAGGAAGGAAGGAAGGAAGAGCCAGCCTTTCTTCAGAGAATCCTGGAGGCACACTGCTTGTTCCCCCCTTGCCGTGTGGCACCTTCTCTAAGCCCTGGAGGGAGGAAAAGAGTTGGAAGTTAGGCACTTCCTCGAAAGCTTTCTAGGAAGCAGTAAAACTGAAGAACCAGGTACCCTAACTGTCCAGTGACCAGAATCAGATCACCTGGCCTCTGGCTTTTCTTGACATTAATTCAGGATTTATGTGAAAAGGTCCTTTAATGTCTCCAAGAATTGTTCCATTAGAGTTGGGTGAGATACCAAAATGGGCATCACTTTGGTAGAGATGCTCTTTAAAAGAAGAAAGCCAGCACTGAGTGGCACACTTGCTTAGGTCTAGGACCCCGCCTTGGTGGTTGATGGAGAGAGCAAGGTACAACCCCAAGCCCAAAAGGCCCCCCATAGTTTCCTAGTAATGCAGTAAACAAATCTATGATGCTTGTTGAATAATCTCCCAATAATTGCAGTCATTAAAATCATCACACAGTCTACAGTCACCTTCCTTCCTTCCTTTGACACACCAGTCTTCCCTTTAATTGTTAATGCATTTTTGGTTCAGATAAACAGATCAAGGCAAGCTTAAAATATATATGGGCCAGATAAAATACATCTAGCACCAGGAAATTAGTTGTGTACCAAACGTTTGGACTGTACTTAATATCCTAGAGGTGTTCAGTTTCTCCAACAGGCTTCATAGAGGCAAGAAGGATTTGCATCTCCTACAGCTGGGTCCCATTGGCCTATTGATTCTTCCTGGTTCTTTTATGTGCATGGGTTGGGTTGAAATGAGGGACAGCATTATAGAGCAAATATTAAATGAAAGCCTAACTGAAATTGTAGGAGAGTTCTTCAATTTTCAATTAATTTTCTTGATCCATTTGATCTCAATGCTGGTGCTTTTTAAGATACAAATATATGTTAACTATAAAAGATTCTCTTCTAATCAAAGGCTGCATTTCATTTTCACTCACACTGACAAACTCCAACTGCGGAAGGGATTCACATGACTCAACAGGCGCTATGGGCTGTTTGGGCTTCCTTGGCCCTTGCTCATGGCTGGCACTGAGACACCAAGGGCAGCTTTTCTTTTTTCCTTTTAAATTCAAGCTATTAGTGTATCTCCCCAACTCCCACATCGTGCTGACCTGACAATCACTGCTCCAGTGTAGATGATGCAAATGAAAAGCATAATTAATTGCTCAAATGATTCAAAAAGGGAGCTCTGTGGCTTAGCAAATAAGTAAATAAAGGCAGGTAGGACAGGTCAGATAAATGCTTTCTGATGGGCTCCTATACCTCTTACCCCCCTCCTGCCTGGCATCCTGATTCTAGCGATCCAGCTGCTACCCCAGGCAGCCTGGTCCAAGCCACAACCTTTTGCTCCTCCTCCCTTAAAGCTCCCCCTCCCACCCGAGTCCTGGAGTCTTCTGAACTCCACCCATCCCACCGCAGTGTTGTCTTCTGCTTGTGTCTGTGCACCTGGCCAAAGCTCCCGGGAACCTGGGCAGCCACCTAGTATTTACCCAGCTACAATGCCGAGGAGCTCAGAAAATAGCCAGTGTTCCTCGTCACTATCCTTGGTAAATCAGGGAAAAAGCATCTTCTCTGTGGCACAGGAGCATCAGTCCTTCCGAACAGCACCAAGACGGAATTCTTTCTCCAGTTTTGCCTTCTGAAACACAGCAACTTGAGCACTCGCTCAGATCAAGGCTCTCGGGGAAAATGCAAGATGGGAGAAACAGTATTTGTTCAAAGAAGTGAACTCTTCCCTTTAATTACCCTATTCTTTATTAGGGTTCATATTGAGTTTTTTTTTTGCAAAAAAAATTATGTTGATTTAACCACAGTGTATTTATGATGTAAATATATTCCAAGATGAAAACGTCACAGATCAATTGTAAAGGACCCGGATACATAATTTTAAAAAATCAGTTTCAGTGTATATGAGGTTCTCACCCCACTTTCTCTGCTCAGTCAGATTTGTTTATGCAGAATCGACATTTAATAGTGCTAATTGCACTCCAGTTAAATTGCCCTGATTGCAGAAAGGGAAGCAATTTTCGTGCTCTCTGTCTGGGTTTGGAAGAAATTGTTTTATATTCACCTCTTTATAAAGAAGTGGAGATAAGGCACCGGGGCCTTTGCACAAATTGCACTTAGGGGCTGACTGGCAGCATTCAGGCGCCATAATAGAGCATTATTTGCCCGTTTTGAATAATGTAAAGCGTTTGCTGAAAGCTATTCTCCTGAAAATTGCTTTAACTTTTAAAAGGGTGATGATTCACTCCAAACCAGGCCTTTGTTACAGTGTCATTATTTCCCCAAATGTTTTAACAGTCAGCTCAACACTTTAGCATAACACATTGATCTTTGTTTAAAAACTAGATATTTTTAGAAGATGAAAAAAGTCTGTCAGATGGGAAAAAACTGGACTTCCTCCGAAAGATTTCCTTGGGGCCCCACCTCAGAGTTGAACTGGCCTGGGTGTTCGCCTGCGTTGGTTCAGAAGATTTCCCTAACTTTTGTGATACTGTGGACGCGTGTGCCTAAAGGAATATCTGAGTGCCCACGTCGAGAGTCTGACAGCTGGAATTACGTGGAAAAAGGCGGGAGGGGGAGGGGAGGGGAGGAGGAGGAGGAGGAGGGAGAGGAGGAGGACGACACAAGCTGGGTGCCTGGAACCGAAGGTGCCTGCGAGAACTGTTTTAAATGGTCGGCTTGAAAATGTCACCAGTGCTAAGTGGCTTTTCGGATCGTCTTATTTATGACTTTGTCAGGTTTCCGTTAGGAGAGGGTGTGCAGGGGGTGGGGGAGGAGGAGGACGGGGAAACCTCGGCGCTTCTCCTCCGCAGGCTTCTCGGGGTGAGTCGGAAACGCCTCGCTGCCACTTAACAATCCCTCTATTAGTAAATCGACGCGGAGACGCCACGGGAAGCCAAGGACCAGTCTCCCCTTCCAGGGCAGAAGTCACCTGTTGGGAACCGCTCCCGGGTCCCCCTGCCGGGCTCTCCGGCTGTTCCAGGCCGCCTTATTTCCCCTCCACCCACGTCCCCCGGGGATTTCTCACATTCCCCCCTCTGATTCCCACCCCGACCCCAGGGCGCAGCTCCTCTTTCACAGCCGCCAGGTTCTACGTGCTCTCTTCTCTAACGTGATTTCCTTGGTGCTTTCGCCACCTTAAAATATTAAAAGGAGAAGAAGAAGAAAGAAAAAGAAAAGCAAGCAAGCATTCTGAGCAGTATCGGAACGAAAAGCGACCCACGCAGTCTTCCCCACCCACGAAGTGCGCCAGGATGCACCCAGGCTCCATCTCTGGGCCGAGAGAAGAGCTACGTTTGGTCGCACTTTAAGACCAGGAAATCGTATAAAAGAGGAGAGAAAACCCTGGCAACATCGTTGCACATGTTCCTTGCTTGCTCCCCCTCTGTGACCACTTGTCTTTTTGCACGCGAGCATTTTGTGATTCGTTTGTTTGTGAAGAGCACGATTTGGATTTGGAGGGGAATGTGCTACAGGAAAACCAGTACCAAGTCTGCCCGAGGGGTCTGGTATTTCGACTTCAAACGCAACCTCTGGCAACCTTTGAGAAGAAAGAAAAAGTGGGGCCCGGAGGGAAGGAAAGCCAACTCCGCGTCTGCAAAGAGAAGCAGCGCGCGCCCCTTGTGTGCGCGAAGAAACCTCTTTTCACGCCCCATCTGGGGAGGACTCGGATGGTTCGAGCTGCTCCACTTGAAGGCGCCCACGTGTGGCCTGCTCCTTGGCGTCGTTGCTGAAGGCTGTGAGGACGGGGCGGCAAAGCAGAGCCCTTGACATAGCACCCTCGCTCCAGGCCAGCCTCTAGGCCTTGGCGAAGCAGCCTCTAGTCCTGGGTCTGGAGTGGGGATGGGTTGGAAATAGAGCAAAGAAAACTCGACTCCAGGCTGAACGCGACATGCAAATCGTCGCCGGTTTAAACAAACAGTGGAGCTAGCTGCAGCTTCACCGGGGGCGGCGGAGGGGGCGGACGGCGCTCGCGCCACTCTCTGTTTCCAAAGTTGTTACAATGTGAAAATAAGCGGATTCGTGCAGCGTGTTGTATGGGCTGATGCTTCCCACCCCCACCCCTGAGCCACCCCCCAAAAGGCTGCCAGAAAATCAGCACGTCCCAGTTTAGTCGTATTTGACAACTGGGTTAACCTGGTAGCTAGGCGCTGGCGAAACCGTACAAAGGGTGTCCTCAATTACCACCAGAAGCTTCTGGCGTGAGTGGCACTTGTATTACCCCCTAGGTCAGAGGCCAGAGCGACAATTAGGAAGTCACTTAGACTGCTGAAGGGCTGGCGGGATGCCGCAGGCTGCAGGCCTCCCAACAAGACTGGGTGTAGACCTGTGTGAAGAGGCCCATTTCTTCCCCTCTCCAAGATCTGTTTTTGCCCCCTCCTCGATGGGTCTGGGGGGGCAGTGGAAATAAGGGACAGGGTAGGAGACCAACGACAAAGATAAAATCACGATCAAGAACGACAAATACCAGCTGAAGTTGTGTTCCAGAGCGAGCGCCTGGACACAAAGTGAGCGTTGACATTTTCCTCTCCACCCGGGCCTCCGCCTCCGCGCCCCTCCCCTCTGCCTCCTTTCCCACAAGTAGGGAATGGAGCCGCACTGTCAACCCGAACTTGCAACGTCTTGGGGTAGCTCGGGGGGAGGGGGAAGCGGGTGCTGTGGCCCAGTCTCCACGGTACTTAAACCTGGCTTGGTGAGTGTGTAAATTTTTAATTGCACTGTAATTTCTGCCGTCCCCAGCCCGCGCCCCCTAACCCCCGCCTTGCCTGCAGACTTGACTGGCACGCGCGGGGAGCCCGGGCTCTGGCCCCTCGGCGCATCTGATTGGCTGCATGGCAGCTCCCGTCTGCTCTGCCTGCGCCCTCATTGGGCGAGAGGCGAAGCCAGCGGCACTTCAAAGCGGGTGCTCCTCGCACTTAGGCTGAGTTTAGCCGGCGGGAGCCCGGAGTCCGCTCGGCGCGAGCGCGGGGACGCGGGAGCCGCGCGGGACCTCAGCAGTGTTTCCCAGCAGCCGCCAGGCTCAGCCCCGCTCCCGGCCCCGCCGCGCATCAGAGACCTGCTATGGCCACGTCTATACTCGGGGTAAGTCATAAGCGCAGCAACGCATTTGGCAGTTTTAACTGGAGTTATTTTTTTTTTTCGTTATGGCTTCTCGTGGTCCGCGGCTCCCAAGAAACTGTTGCTGCCAGACTGCGGCTTTCAGCTTCTTTTAGCACTTTTCTCATTTCAGGGACCATATCTTTCCAAGTTATTGGAAACCGGTAGGTGCCTTTGCATGAAAAGGATTTCTTAAGCAAGTTCTCTTTTACTTGGTTTTAAAGACAAGCTAGAGGTTTTTCCATCCCTCGTGATTTAAGCCCCATCCCCCCTACTTTGGGAATGGTTGCGCTTAGGCGACAGTGATGTTTGCAGAAAACTGTCTTCCTCGCTTCACAGTCCCAGCAGCCCCGGGAATAAACATTTATAATATCTGCAGCCCCCGAGTTCGCCCGTGATTTTGCAAGCTGTCCCAGGGCCTCTTATCCTCAGGTTATTGTTTTTGTAATCGGCGTATGTGTAAATATTGAAACCATTGTTTTCTATCTAAAAAATAGTCAAATTGTAGCCAGCCTTGGGAAGAGCATCTCAAGTTCTGGCTGTCCCTGGCCCGCTGTTCGGCCCCCTCTGCCCTCCCCCGGTGCTTGCTGTCTGTGTTTACCTTCATGCTGCACCCAGAAGGGCGACCCGGGGACATGGGGAGAGGAACTGGCTGATGGTGAACCAAGTCCGGTTCTAGGCAGGGGTTGCAGCCACCAAGGAGGAAACCGAGGCATTCCTAACTCCTAACCTCTCCAAGAGCAACTTTCCAGCGCCCAGACCTTCGCCCTGCGGCTGCCCCTACCCCGTGCGCCCGCAGTGCATCCTTTGCGCGCGCGTGGGGTGGAGGCGCGAGCTGAGCGGGGTGCCCCGGCCCCCAGGACCAGCCGGGGGGACACGGCTGCTCATGGGTGCACTTTGTGTCCCCCCCTTCTTCCTGCCATCCTCCTCCTCTTCCTCGTTCCCTCCCTCACCCCACCCACTCTAGGAAGAGCCGCGCTTCGGAACGACCCCGTTGGCCATGCTGGCAGCGACCTGCAACAAGATCGGCAACACGAGCCCGCTGACGACGCTGCCGGAGTCGAGCGCCTTCGCCAAGGGCGGCTTCCATCCCTGGAAGCGCTCCTCGTCCAGCTGCAACCTCGGCTCCAGCCTCTCGGGCTTCGCGGTGGCCACAGGCGGCCGCGGCTCCGGCGGCCTGGCGGGGGGCTCGGGAGCAGCCAACAGCGCCTTCTGCCTGGCATCCACGTCGCCCACGTCGTCCGCTTTCAGCAGCGACTACGGCGGCCTCTTCTCCAACTCGGCGGCAGCGGCGGCGGCGGCAGCCGGGGTGTCCCCGCAGGAGGCGGGCGGCCAATCGGCCTTCATCTCCAAGGTGCACACGACGGCAGCAGACGGCCTGTACCCACGAGTGGGCATGGCGCACCCGTACGAGTCGTGGTACAAGTCGGGCTTCCACTCTACGCTGGCGGCGGGCGAGGTGACCAACGGCGCGGCGTCGTCGTGGTGGGACGTGCACAGCAGCCCGGGTTCGTGGCTGGAGGTGCAGAACCCCGCCGGGGGGCTGCAGAGCTCGCTGCACTCGGGCGCCCCCCAGGCCTCGCTGCACTCGCAGCTGGGCACCTACAACCCCGACTTCAGCTCGCTCACGCACTCGGCCTTCAGCTCCACCGGTCTAGGCTCCTCGGCGGCCGCCGCCTCGCACCTGCTTTCCACCAGCCAGCACCTGCTGGCCCAGGACGGCTTCAAGCCGGTGCTGCCCTCCTATTCGGACTCCAGCGCCGCGGTGGCGGCGGCCGCGGCCAGCGCCATGATCTCGGGCGCCGCGGCCGCCGCCGCCGGGGGGAGCTCCGCGCGCTCCGCCCGCCGCTACTCCGGCCGCGCTACCTGCGACTGCCCCAACTGCCAGGAGGCCGAGCGGCTGGGCCCGGCCGGGGCTAGCCTGCGGCGCAAGGGCCTGCACAGCTGCCACATCCCCGGCTGCGGCAAGGTGTACGGCAAGACGTCGCACCTGAAGGCGCACCTGCGCTGGCACACGGGCGAGCGGCCCTTCGTGTGCAACTGGCTCTTCTGCGGCAAGCGCTTCACGCGCTCGGACGAGCTGCAGCGGCACCTGCGGACTCACACCGGCGAGAAGCGCTTCGCCTGCCCCGTGTGCAACAAGCGCTTCATGCGCAGCGACCACCTGAGCAAACACATTAAGACGCACAACGGGGGCGGCGGGGGCAAAAAGGGCAGCGACAGTGACACAGACGCCAGCAACCTGGAGACGCCCCGCTCCGAGTCCCCAGACCTCATCCTGCACGATTCCGGCGTCAGCGCCGCCAGGGCAGCGGCGGCGGCGGCGGCGGCGGCGGCAGCGGCGGTGGCGGCGGCCTCGGCGGGCGGCAAGGAGACCGCGAGCGGCCCCAACGACTCCTAAGGCCGAAGAGAGGCGCGCGAGCAGCGAGCAGGGACGCGGAGAGTGGACGGCGGCTGCAGGCGAGCGGCGGGCGGGAGGGCGGGGCCGGCGGCGCCCCCAGCGCCCCCAGGCCGGGACTGGGCGCCAAGCCCGGCCGAGCCCCGCGCGGGGAGCTCCTCCGCAGTCCGCCCCCGGGGGAGGACCCAACGCGTGGCCCAGAAACAAAAGCGAGCCGTCCCGCGCCACAAACACCTTCGAAAAGTGCACCCCCAGACACACGCACACACGCACCGCAGACCCACACTCGCGCGCGCGCGCACACACCACTCGCACAAACTTCTCGAGCGAAGAGCAATACACAGAAACGCGCCCTCCTCCCCTCCGCCCTCCTCCCTCTCCTAGCCTTCCCTGTCTTTTTCTCAAAAAAGCTAGCCACCACCCAGCAAAGGACTGTCAGAACATTTGAAAATACGGACCTATAAAAAAGAGACTCTTTGTGTGGATTATATTATATATAAAATGCTCCAAGTCCTGCTTGATATCTACTTACGATGAGACTTTTTTCCTAAAAAGGAAGCATCAAAAAAGGCTTAAGGTGAGAAATTAAACTGGAAGTCTAGCGACAGTTTCTCTGTATTTCATAACATCTGTATAAATAGGGTTCAAAAGATTGTGTTCGTTTTTATTTTCTTGTAAATGTTCATTCGAATAGTTTTTTTCTTTCTTTTTTTGGTGAATTCCTGAAATTCAGGAAGTTTTTTTTTTTATTTTCTGATGCACTTTGTGAAAGTCAGTATATATGTAAAAGATATTTAAAATGTTGAGTTATCATTTCAATCAAACACGTAAGTTAAGGTCATCTAAAAAATTAAATGCGTTTATCTGTATGAAGAAAATCTTGACATCATATTTTCATTTTGGTATTATTAAAGGACTCTGAACAATACACCTCCCCCCTTTTTTAAATCCTGTTTGCCCCTCAGTAACCTTTACGTGGGTCAATTTTTTTTTTTTTCCTTTTGGTTGGGAAACAATTCCCTTAATGTTAGTCGTAGGTAATGTAAAGTTTATATGGGTTATAAAAGCCATAATGCATATACGTTTTTGAGAAGTCAAAATTATTTATTTGTATATCAACAGCGTAAATTAAATTGGGTTATAAGAATGTGTAGTTGTATTGCTTAATGGGAGGGCTCTCCAAAGGTGACATTTGAAATCGCCTAAGAAAAGCAAAGGTTCTTGGCAGCTTTAACTGGGGAGGTGCTTGGGCCTCCCGGAGGGGTCAGAGAAAACTCTGGTGGGTTTGTTTGTTTTTAAAAAGTGATTTAAAAACAATCAGTTAAAGGAAAAAGCATTTTGGAAAGAAGTCTTTTAGCTCCCAAGACCTCTATGTTGGGAGGCATCTCGGGGGAATAAATCGCTAGAGTCAATACTCCGGAAAAGACATTTCATGCCTAAATGAAAATCTTGTTAAATGTTATTAATTTTGACTTAGAGCACACAGCAGCCCCCTGTGCCTTGTATTCCCTTATTAGGGATTCATGTCTTATCAAATATCTAATTAATCTCCTAGACATCATTTGTTCTGGCCAACTTTATCTCAGCTGGTCCACGGGGAAAACTCCAAATATTCTCTGTGACAAAGCTCCCTTGAAGATCTTTTTAATTGTCTAAATTAACTGCACCAAATTTGCATGTCAAACGGTAAAGGGCAACCTGAGATAAAATGTAAGCGTTTTAAAAGCCCCCAAACTAAGCACTTGATTTGATAACTAGGCTTTTTAATGTTATGGAAGACAACTGCTCCTTTCCTTTTCAAAGACGGCTGATCTATGCAAATAGTGAATTGGAAATGCCTAGGTCCCCGCGCCGTCAAATGGCCCTCGCAGGTTATTTGAATATCAGTGGCGCTGCTTCTGAAAAGGTTCAAGGATGCTCTCTGACTTCTTTGTGATTACTCAGCGCGGCGTCTTATTCTGAAGAAAAAAACTCGGGAATAATTAAAGGCTGGGATCAGGCCTGGGAACACATTTGGGACAGGAATCTCATTTAGACAGTCTCTTTCAAAATAAGGCACAGTTAAATTGACCAGAAGGCAATTATTGAAATGAAAATTATTTTCACTCTCTTTGTCTTCTGACCACCAACTTAACAGCCTCGTTTTAAAAAAGAGAGAGGAGAGACAAAAAAGAAAATTGGTAAATGAGACAATTTCACAATTCGAAAAAAATGTTAATTTGGAAAATAAAGTGCATATTTGCAGAATTAAAATATTTCTGAAAGGCCTCCCACAGTAGGAAATACAGGCGAAGTCAGTTCCAACACATTTCCCCCCCCCTGATTACTGTCTTTGGAAACTTGAGTGAAGATTTTGATTCTTAGGAAAGAATGAAAAATTAAATTATTGTTCCTAACAGTCAACAAAACTGTGCTCTGAAAAGCCCAGTAGCAATGTAGCGATGAAACCGAAGAAAAGGTCCCCAGCCTGGCGTTTGCAGCCAAGGTTCAGCGGCTTCCTCCCTGCCGCCTGCCTCCCCGCAGCCTCGCCGCCCGGCTCCTCTTCCTGAGTCTTCCCCCTCTGGCTGTTTTCTCTCCAGGATCGAAGCTTCCCTGACCCGGGCTCCCCGGGCTTGGCCTCCCGTGCGCCTTGGGGGTTCGCTCCGGTCTTGGGGAGCAGCCAGCGGGGTCGTGTGCTCCGCGGGCCTCGGCGCAGCAGGCCCAGGGGGTGCCCGGCCGTCCGGGCTGCGGCCCGGCGCGCGGAGTGAGGTGTGGCCAGCGCTCCTGAGGCCCGAGGGCGCCGGGGCGTCGGGCCTCGTCCGTCCGCTTTGTTTCCCGGGCATAATAAAGGCAGATCAAAGGCCTGGCCGTGCAGGTCCCGCCGGCCGCGCGGCTGGCTCCGCAGGCCAGTGATCAAGGCCGGTGCGCGCTGCCTCTGCCCCGCGGGTCAGCCCACGTCCATCACCGGGACAGTGCACACGGCCGGGCCTGAGGTCCAGCAGGGGGACCTGCGAGCCAGCCCCGAGCCTGGAGCGGGGGCGCGGACGCGGGGCAGACGGACCCAGCCTTGGGGTCCCTCGGGCTTCGGGAGCCTGAACCGAGCTGGTGGCACCGACAGAACCGAGCAGCTCGACGCAGCCTGCGTGGGAGGAGGGGACACCGTCGGGTGCCCAGCAAGGGGGGACGCGCCTGCCCAGGGTCACCACCGGGCCGCGTGGCCCGGGCCTGGGTGACTCGGGCCCCTGGGAGCGAGGCCGGGCCAGGGTCCCTGGCGCAGAGCAGGGCAACGGCTGAAGGTCCGCACCCCGGGCCCAGGCTCGCCCCAGCCCGGGTGGGTTCGATTTCGTTTCAGCCGATTTCTCCAGGTTTCCTGATCTGCAGTTTCCTACGCAATAAAGAGCGAAGACCGAGTCCCCCTCGGCCTGCGCCTTCGCAGCCCCAGCCCACGCCCTCCCTCCGCGCTTTCTTTCCCTGATGCTGACCCCCCCCCCCATGAATCGGATCCAAGGAAAGAGGAAAAGAAAATATTTTTCTCTCTTCAAGGAAGGGAAACATCATTTTGATGAGATTAGATTGTGCACCTGAACAGCGTGTCTGGACATTCCGTCAAATCGTTACAAGTCGTGTAAAATTGAATTTCTTTTTATTCAGATGGAAACTTTATTTATTTTAACTCTAATCCTATTTGCATCTATTATCTGTATTCACCAAGGCTCTCTTCCCCTACAAAAATGCAGATGAAGTAAATCTCACATAAATCCCGCCCATTTGTGTAATTGGTATACTAAGTGTTTATTTTAAGTGAGAATAATTTAGCTACAAATTTTCTTAAGGAATAACATTCTTAACACATTAAAAAAAACTGAAAACTCTGATTTGCTTTTATGTTTGACAGTAGCTCTTGATTCCCTTAAGAGGAGCGCGGCGAGTGCGGCTCGCTGGCGCCATCTAGAGCCCGGAGCCGGGAGGTCCGCGCTGTGTGCCCCGCGCTCGGCTGTTGGCGCGCGGAGACCGGCTGGGGCCGCGAGCTGCAAACAAGCAGAGCAGGCGAAGCAAAGCGGGTTTAGTGTGCGGCGGGGAACGAGCTCTTCTGTAGAGGGGCACGCTTAAGGGTGTCTTCCAGGAAAGGGGGTCGTGTCTAGGACTGCTAAGTGAAAAATCCAAGCAAAACCAACACGATAACGCCCCACTTGGCCTTGGTCTTAGCCTTGTCGCGTTTAACATCCTTTTCAAGGCAGCTCCAGGTCTTCCAACTCCGGGCGGAGAACGCTGCGCGCTGCTGGCGGCGACGTGGACCCAGGCACGGGGACCCAGCAGCGGGCGCAGCCTCCCGCGCACTTCGCCCCACGACCCTGGATCCAGGGCGGCGTGGAACTCCGGGACCCCCGGACCAGGCCGGTTCCCCGGACCGCCGAGGCTGCCCCTTGCGTCCGCGGTGCCCCGCGTGGGGAGGAGACGCGCGCGGCTTCGCAGCCGGGGCTCGGGTGGGCTCAGCCGCCCTCTGCTCCTGCGTTCGGCCGGCTCCGCCCGAGCCTGGCGCGGGTCGTCGGGCGGGGAGGATGGACCCCTTTTGTCTCTGCCTTTCCCCTTCGAAGCCCAAATCTAAAAATCGGAAAACAGTTGGAGGCGTTGGCCAGTGCTTCCCCCTCGGTGCCTCGCCCTCCCTGCCGCCCCCCTTCCCCTCCTCTCCCCAGGCCACCCACCCCACCCGCGGTGGCGCTCGCGCGGTGACTTCCTCTCCAGATCCCGCGCATCGATCGGGTTTTAATTTGGAAAGCTGCACCTTTCCACCCCGCGCGCTCCCGAGGCGGCGGCGGAGTCTTCGCCCAGAGCAGCGAGCGCCGGGTCGAGGCGCAGGGGCGCGGGGCTCCCCGAACTCAAGCCGGGGAAACGCAGCGCCTCTCTGGGAACTCGCAGCCACCTTTGCAGCGGGTACTCGGCTGGGTTTGTATTTGCTGTTTTAATACAAACCCCGCCGCACTGCCTATTTCAAAGATGTGCTAATTACTACTTGGATAGCAGGGCGCAAAGTCCTTGTCCATTTCCCAGTACAAAGTAGGTTGCTAGAAAATTTGAAATTGCCTTTCAGCCTAAAGCTGCCTTACCTGAATGTCATAATTACAGTAATTATGTACATCCAAATTACATGCTAATTAAATTAGAATCAAATCGTTCTAAATCGAAATCAAATGAGGTAGTGAAGAATTAATCAATGACAACATAAATAGAGAGCTTCCTTCAGAGATATTTATTGTAACGATCCAAGGAGGAATTTGATCTGAAAAAGTCACCTGTTTATTTACTTTCAAATTAGTAATCAGTTATTATCCCTTCTCCATAATTTTAACCGTTCAGTGTTATTTACCCCCCACTCTTTCCAGACGCGGGAGTTTATAGAAATATGTATGAGGTAAATACATACAGTCATGCCTCCCCCATATATTATTGATATAAATATATACCGTGTGTTTACAACACCAGTTAAGGGAAAGGTTTTACAATGTCCGTGGGGACGCATCTCTCCAGGGCAGATTCTTGGGGACCCGGGAAAGCTTAGCACTAAGAGTTTTCAGGATTTCCCAAAGACCTTTCCACTTTCAGGATTCATAATGGGGGTTTTGCAACCTTTTGCAGGCACCTTTCCATTTCGGGGTGATTCATTTATTAAAGAACTGCAAAGTGATAGTGTGTGACTTCCCTGGTCCCTTTTCTCCGTGCAGACTGCTGATGAGAGCTGTTATTTTTATTTTTGCCCCAGCAGCCAGATTCACACTGGCTTCAGAAAGCAGTTTTCTTTCACCTGTGGAACCAGAGCGACCAGAAAAATTCGCTCTCCTTCCTGACTGCTCCCGGCGAGTCTGCCCTCCGACCTGCGCAGGGGAAGCGCGCAGCGCCAGGGCCAGCTCCAGCGGGACAGGAAGCCAGGCAGTGCCGCTCCCCAGGAGCACTCCCCTGCCTTGCAGCCTGGTGATTCGGCCTGGGACTTTTTTCTGGCTAGGTTTGGGCCACCGCGGTGTCGAGGGAATAGGGGACCGATTCAGAGAGCTAACCCTGACCGTTTCTATTACTCCTGTAGAGAGGGAGTCAAGCGCCTTCCTCTAGGAAGGGTGCGCGCCCCCCAATTCCAGCCTATTCACCTGAGGGTGGGGTGGGCTCCAGAGGTGGCCAGATGCGCGTCCCGAAGGCCAACACCAGCGAACACAGGGGTGGCGTCGCCTCTCGGGGTGAGAAGGGGACACTCGAGCTGTCACGCTCCCCAGCCCTGTATTTCCTTTGAATTTAGGGCTACGTCCTGAGAAGCCCAGCTCTGGATGCCACGGGAGCTCGGCCCCTATTCCGCCTACCCGCTTGGGGGAAGGAGCGTTTCGCCTAAGTGCATTTTTCTCCATCCTCGTAGCTCTTCAGATTTCTTCTCTCACTTCGTTAGCTTCTGGGGATTGTGAAGTGCTTTAACTGTGTGGCCTAAAGGGAAGAGACGGGAAGGTGATGTGGAGTCCTATGCTTCCCTTTCCTTCCTGCTGGATTTTAGGAGCTTGCAGTCGGCACAGTTCAATTGCTACCGCGTTTCTCAAATGCGAGTTCCCCCATCTTTTTTCCTCACAACTTTTTAAAAACGTTTGGCCTTTTCGATCTGAAAACGCCTGCAAGGCCTACAGTTATTGCATGCCTTTATCTCTTTGCAAGAAGCGGAAACTAGAGCAAATACTTTTTAAAAAAAAAAAATCCAAGTAAGATTTTTTAATATGCTTCAGCTAAGAACGCAGCTTTCTTGCTGGTCTTCAGCACAGCGTGTGAAAGATGGGCCTCGCTAAGGCTCTAACCAGCATCTTGGCCCCATTGCTCATTAGGTAGACTGAAATAGCCCCGGTGGGTTTTAAATTCTTGAGTTGCAAGGCTGAAGCATACTAGATGTTCTGGGGTTGAAACTGAGAAACGCCTGCCCTCAGCAGCTGAAACCTCCGAGTCACCATCAGCTAGAGGTGCATATGGAAGAACAGCAAGAAAGGCCTCCCCAAGCCTTTCAGACATAAAGCTTTTTTCAGATTGCAGCCCTATGATTCACAGCGATTCATTTTGCATTGCAAGGTAAGCAGACCTTCTTCTATGCTGCACCAGCCTCTTATTTTAATAGTAAAAGAAATTACGACAAAGAAAGTAGACAACTAGACAATTAGATAAACAAGTCCTAACCTAGCAACCTGATCTTGCCTGGTCATTTGTAAATCGACAGCACCTCCTACAGGAATTCATTTGCTAGCGTTGTGTTAAATGTTACCCTAGGGGAAAAGGGATGCTATGGGGGTGGGTGTCCCCAAAATGTGTTCTACCAGTCTTCGTGTAGTTCCAGGCTCATGGACAAATAAGAAATGTCTAGCTATACCTGGATGTCTTTAAAAGAACCTCTTTATTAAAGATCTTAAGACTGACAAATTTTACCAGACTGGTTTTCTTAAAAAAAAAAAAAAAAAAAAAAAAGCCACTGTCAAGGACTTTTGTTTGGATTAAGTCATCCACTAGACATGAATTCTGTGGCTTTTTATACTTAGAATTTCTACACATACTAGACATGCTTATTACAAATCATCTTTTATCATGATTCTAAATTTCAAAAGCTGTGAGTATAACTAGATGCCTGTTTTTTATTTTTAAAAGATCGTTTTTCCCAGTATGGTTAGTATATATAAAACATGTGAGAACCTTTAAAGCTGTTATGATTGTGAAAATGCTTCCCTTCTATTTTCAAGTTTATGAATTAGAATGCTACCCATTGGGGTTGCCTAGAATCATTGGGTGACCAAGGCTGGGGGCCAAACTACAAACAAGCATTTTCCGTAACACTTGAGAATTTTTCTCAGAATTGGATGGTTAGAATATTAGAGCAAAAGCACTTCATGGTTTTACAATCCTAACGATGAAGGATTAAATCAGAGATTTAAAAAATCTAAATGGTTACTCTTTATAAAGCCAAGAAGTGGACCACACTGTTGTGAAAGTCAGAAGTGTGAAGTGGTATGTCTTTAATTCATTCTTAATTATACGATACATTTCAACATTTCTCTTCATGAATGCTGTATTGGTTCAGAAATCCTTTTTAAGGAAGTGAGTATTGCATAGGTTTTGACATTATAAAAATTATAAAGTCTAAAAAGGCATAAGGTAGAAAATTACTGCAACACTGATGAACTCAAGGTGTAAATTAGTCTTTATCAATTTTAAATGCACGCTTTTAAGTGAGGAAGCAATGGGATCTGTGAGGTACACTGTAAGTTATTAAAGAATATAGAGGAATGCAAAGCACCTCTTTTCCTCCAGTTCCTTAATCTAAATAAAGTCTATACTTTTAATTTTACACCTTCTAAAAAATTAGAGGGGCTTTGTTTTGTGCACATACTTAGGCAAGACAAACATTTTAGATGACACAGAGTGGTTTTAACTCCTATTGCAAACTCTCTGAAAGAACTTTAAAGAATTGCAACTGTTGACAATAGAAATCATCTAATTTTTTCATATTAACAGATTTTTTTTTTAAAAAGCAAGACCCTAATAATAAAGTGTCCATGTTGTGAAATGTTTTTTGGAATCGCATGTTAGAGTCTGCATTGACTTCTCTTTACTTTTTCCTTTACTGTACTGCATTTCCATGTTTGAACACATGAAAAAATACTCTTTATACTCATGAAATACATCAAAATAGTTCATATTGTCTCATTGATAAATTATATAAATGCTTAACCTTGAAGCAAAGCCTTGGAATACATGTTTCTCAGAGGTAGAAAGGCTCTCCATGGTAGGCAGAAGGGTCCCCCTCTGATGTACACATCCTGACCCTTGGAACTGGTGAATATGGATGTAAATGGGATGTTAATTTCCATTTGCATGGAAAAGGAGAATTAAGGTTGTTAATCAGTTGGTCTTAACACAGGAAGATTATTCTGGATTCTTAAGTGGACCTGCTATAATCACAAGGGTTCTTAAAAAGTAGAGAAGGATATAGAATATCAAAGTGTCTGATTAGATTTGAGGATTTGACTGCCCTTTATTTTTGAAGATGGAGGTAGAGGAGCCAAGGAAGGCCAAAAGCTGAAATAGGCAAGCAAATAAGATTTTTCTTCAAGCCTCTAGAAGGAACACAAGGCTGATGATACCTTGATTTGAGCCTTGTGAGACCTGTGAGAGAATTCTGATATCCACAACTGTTAAAACAGAACATCCACATGTAAACAGGTTACTCTGTAGAATACCACACCTGAACTTTAAGTCTCAAAGGAATATTGATAAAAGTCCAGTTTAATTCACACTAATGAATTTCAACTATCACATTTTGCTTCAAGCAAATCCAAACTTTAAAATAACAAATTTGAATTGACAATAGGAAAAAAATTACATTATAACTAATGTACTGTCATTCTTTGAACAAAAATAAGTCACAGAGTTACACGGGTTTTAAAAAATCTGGTACAGGGCACAAGAAATATTTTCCAACAGTTACTGAAATAGTTTACACAGCTGGGAAATTAAAATAGTGTTTTTTTTATTAGAAGGACAGCAGTACACCCTTTAGCCCTTGCTGAAGGTATCAATAAGGAAGCCGCGACCTTTCATCTGCAGGTGACGGCCACACAGTCTCTTCGCTCCCGCGTCCCTCTAGCGCTCATCTCCCCAGCGCCCTCGGTGTGTCCCTTCTGCTCTGCAGCTATCTGAGCCGCGGCTCCCGGCGTCATTTCTTCTTTTCGGCTCTCCACTGGGACTCCGCTGGGACCGTTTCCTCATCGCCCTCTGCTCGGCCCCAGCCCCAGCCCCAGCCGGACTCCGGCTTCTTCTCCTCCGCTCCTCCCGGCTACAGCTATGGCCTCCACTGCTGCCCTGGCTTCCTTCAGCTCCTCCCCTCTCCGCGCTGTGACCGCGGCTTCTGGGCCTCTGCTCAGAATCAGCACGGCTCCATCTGCTGCTCTTCTCCCCACAACTCTCCGGTTTTATAAAGCGAGGCATTTCGCTGGCTTTTTTCTTGGTACTGTCACTGCTTGAGGGCTCTTCATAAAGTTTTCTCTTCTTAGACTTCTTCTCTTCAGAGGCACTGTTCTTACCTCCTAAACACTTGTGCTTCTTTTTCTTCTTCTTTTCTATTTTCTTTCCTCTGCTGTCACTCTCACTACTGCTTTCTGAAGTCTCAGAAGAGGAAGAGGAGGAAGAGGAGGAGGAAGAGGAGGAAGAGGAGGAGGAGGAGGAAGATCTGTGTTTATGTTTTTTGTGTTTACTTTTGGGCTTGTGTAACTTTTTATTTTTTCTGTCTTTTTTCTTTTTCTTATTTTTCTTTTCTAGTCTGTCCAATTTCCTATAATTGAGAAACAGTAACAAACTGTGAGAAAGTCTTTTTATCAACAACTATAAAACTGTCAACAGACACTGTATTTTCTTAGAAGCTACTGAAAATGGTAACTATTTAAGAATATATTTTTTATTTTATCAAATGAAATTACTTTTTTAAATTATTCAAGGAATGTATATGCTTAGTTTAGGCAAAAAATTAAATGCATTAAGCTAATTCCCTGACTACACTTTATCAATAGTAATGACTTAAAAAAATTCTAAGTAAATTTGAAATTATTTCACATTCTAAGTAAATGGTTATTCTCATCTAAAGTCTATAAAATGTTTGTAACATAGTTGGATCTATTTAAATTCACATACCTACCTGTAATCATGAAAAATTAACTTTGTGTACATGCTATTCTAAAGTATGGAAACACTGGTTAGGTGTGTTAGTGCATGCCTATAGTCTCAGCACTTTGGGGGGCTGAGGCAGGGGGATCACAAGTTTAAGCTCAGTGAAAGCAACTCAGTAACTTATCAAAACCCATCTCCAAAAAAAAAAAAAGGCTGGGGCTATACCTTAGTGTGAAAGCCCTAGGTTCAATCTTCAGCACCACATAAACACATAAAATATAGAAATATTATATTACAGCCAATGAGGTTTATACCAGGTTTCAACAACTGTTTAGTTTTACATTTTATTAGTGTTAAGTTTTTTTGGTACCAGAGATCAAACTCATGACCTCACACTTGCAAAGAAGGCATCTGTACCGCTGAGCTAAACCTCCAGCCCATTAGTGTTAATTTAATTATAGCATTCTGAAATTCTACTTCACATTCTCAGAAGAGCAATTTGTTTATATATTATGTTTGCATTAGTCTGAAATTAAATCATTTTCATTGGGTTCTGTCCAGCTGTTCTCAAAACTTCAAATGCTAAAAATATCACGAGCTCCCTCTATTGGACTCTACAGAGATTTCCTGATTTTTAAATATAGAGGTAGTGTAATAAATTTTATGTTTATCTTTGTTTCAGCACTCCCCATAAAAGTTTACAAAACATAAAAATACATGGGCAAAATATTTTCTAAGAATAAACTGTGTATAAAGATACACATATATACATAAATTTATTATGAAAAGTAAAACCTAAATACAAGTAAGTGTTTCCAACTTAACTGTTCTAAAAAGCACCAACAATTTTTTTGGCATAATTCAAGTACACAATCATATTCATTTTCATGCTACTGAGAAGATGGACAAAATTGTATTATTATAACTGAAAAGTCAATAAATGTGATAAATGATTTAACCTTTGCGAACTCTTAAGAGGGCTGGGACTGTAGCTCACTTGCCTCACTCAGCATCCACAAGATCTTAGGTTCGGTTCCCAGACCTCCCGGAAAACAATCATTAAGAGCTCTTAGGGTTAGAGCTGAGCATGACACCAAGATGAAATGTAAAGAAAAACAATCCACTAAATGTATGCTTATTGTTAATTACCTGAGAAGTTTCTGTTTTTGTTTGGTTGTTAGTGACTTTAAGAATTCAACTTCTGGATCTTCTTCACCCTCACTTGCAACATACTCCTGCATGAACAAAAATATCATTCAATTGCTAGATTTTAGATAAGTTAGTTGTCAGAAAGGAAAAAAAATGTATAAACAAGAAGTTTTCTATTAGGGATATACTACAGGTGACTGTGATATTTTTGACCGGGAGGTGGGAGGTCTACTTGCTATGGTGGATCTTAGGGGTTAGCACAACTGCTGTACCATCGTCAGGGACTTCACCAAGAAGAGGAAGACAGAAAAATGCAGATATAATCTATCCCTTCAATTTAAACCTTTGCTAATTAATACTTTTATTTTTAATTTAATGAAATATAGATGAAGCCAAGAATGAGGGGCTGGGAGTATAGCTCAGTGGCAGAAAGCTTGCTTAGCATGTGCAAGGCCTTGGCTTTGATTCCCAACACTGCCACAAAACAAAACAAGGAAAATTATCATGAGAAGGTTAAGACAGCCACAATTTGGGCCTTTACAATACTATGTTATCTAATTCAAACAATTACTTTCTGGAGCTATGATCAATTTAATAAATTAAAGTTTAAAATATTTTCTATAATTTTTAGTTTAGTTTACTTCTATATACTGGACTTTCTATTGGTTCAGTTTAATGTTACTTCAGGTGTAAGTAGGAACAAAAAAACAATTTTACCACTAGTTCAGTTAGATATTTTATTCACATAATCCCACAGGAACTATTTCATTTATTAAAATACAGGTTTACAAACAATTTCTCATTTAATAAAGAGGCAAAATCAAAACACATTTTAGGCATCTTCTTTGCCATCTTACTTTCCTATGGATATATGCATATTGGAAAACATTAAGCAGCAATTCTCAAGCAATCACATTTAGATTTGTAGACATTTTCAGCTTACTGATAAGAAGATCATTACCTGTGATGGATCATTTGCGGTCAAGTTTCTCCCCAGTACATTTCGTTTCAGTGCAAACCCACTGTTTCTCATCTCCGCTATTAGCTCCGAGGGGTGCATCGATGGCCCTGTTCACAAAAATCACAGTTTGAATGTATCATTTCTATCTCGCTACCTTCTCGGACTCCACAGTAGGAATGTAGTTGAAGCTTTGTTAAGTAAAATTGCAGCTAAATCAACTCAATAATCTTCTGCTGAGCAAATAATCAGATATGATTTTCTAAAACAGCAGTCTGGAGATTCAGAATAGAAAATAATTGCATTTTTCTTTACGTGCAAGGGGATTCTCCTCTTATGTAACTTTGTCATGTTGAAAAAGATACATTTAGATGTAGCTGGTTGGAGGTTTTTAGTATAAAATGAAAAATGACCAAAAAAACAAATTAAACTTTTAACAGTTTTCTCAGAATTCACTTACTTTTAAGATACATATGTAATTTATTATACTAGTTTGCAATTCAGAATTCCTCACTCTTGTTTATTAAATACTAATATGGTACTGAATCATTGCCATGTGCTTGGCATTATCAACAAGCATGTATACACACACACACACACCTCTGTGTCACCATCAAACACTAATCATACACATGCACACACCCTCACTAGATCTTGAAGTTTTGAGTTAGTGTTGTATTAGTTTGGGGTTGGGGGACAAGCAACTTATAGATTGGTTACAGGTGTATATATTTGTTACAGGTGTATGTGTTTCACAAGCTGCTGTTTCCACTTGTGCAAAATCTCAAACTATATAAGTTACCTTTCTGGTTCCATGATATGGATCAACAAAGTAGAAAAATACTTAAAACATTTGCCCCCTTTTCTCAAATGTAAGGCTTATTTCTCCTTTTCAGTATTCCTGTTTCACTTTGTTTTCTCTGTAGGTACGTAGCAAACTAACTGACATTTCATCATAGCTATTTAAAGTTTCTGGCCTAAATCATCTACATAGCATAAAATAGCTACTCTGAACCATGAATCTATACTGTGAGGAGAAATAAAGTTAGTGCTGACAAGGACTTCATAACAGGAAGCAGGAGACAGGAGCACTCAGAAACAATGTCTGCATGTTTACCTACGTATTCCCATGGAAAGCAAAAGGCAATCATTGCAAATCTGTTCACTTGTCAATAGCAGCTTTGGTAGGGAAAAAAATTGGGAAAAGTTTAGGTTTAGGTTATTATCATATTGAACTCTCTAGACTTTAACATTCTACTCATACTGTATTACCAAGAACAACTGAATGTTTGAAATGATAGGAAAAACAGCCTGTAATTGGTATATAGGCAGTTATATTTAATTCCCATGGGAAGTTTAAAGACCCTTTAACACCTATTTGGTTGTAGATATTGATAAAATAATCTTAAACAAAAACTAAATTTTAAATATTAGTATTAGTGGTCTCTAAGTGGAATAAAAATGATATCATTAAAAGCTTTAAATGAACAGCAAGGCTGGGGTTGTGGGTCCAAACTTAGATCCCCAGCACTGCAAACAAAAAGTGGGGAGGGAGCAGGTAACAGTACATTTGCTTTGGTGGCTTCTCAAAATTCACACATAGCAACATTTTTATAAAGTAAAACGTGTCTTCTGAATTGTCAAAACTACATTTCCTTGTCAACAACTTTCAGTAGTATTTTATGCCACATATTTTGGGAGAAAATGTATGGAAAGTCTTCTAAAGTTTAGATTCAGAAACATGACAACTCCAAAACATATTCCTTAGCTAAGGAAAAAGGCTGAGACTTTTACTTATCTGTTCTTGTAACTTTTTCAGTATGTATCTATTGCATAGTAACAGGCACATAACCTTAAAAATTGTACTTTAAAACCAAGCCTCTGGGCTGAGAATGTAGTTCAGTGGTGGAGTACTTGGCTAGTGACGTTTGAGATCTTAGATTCAATCCTCAGCGCCCCTAAAATAAATAAAACTCCCAAATATTATCACAAATAAGCTATGATTATCATTTCCACAACAGTAAAGTTTTCTTTTTTTTTCCCCCCTAAGGTTAAAGCAACTTTAAATAAACTACAGTGGTGCCTTAATCATGAACGTAATTTGTTTTATGATTTTGGGGAAGATGGCTGCATTTGGGTTCATGTGGGGAACATGGCTGTGGTTGTGTTGTGGGTTTGTAAATGGAGTTTCTCAAATACTTTTGAGAATCAAATTGTTTGAAGAATTCCTGACCTGAGGTATTATTGTATTCCTTGTTGCTAAATAAAAAGGACAGTTTAGATACTAATTTTATTATATTATTGAGGAAGATCTATGTATAGTAGAAATTATCAAGCATTATCTAACATTTATATTTAGTGCCTAATGTTACCATACCATTTTGCTTTCAAGAAAGTGTATGTAAGTTGTCTTTAAAAAAGACTATAAAAGGGGTGCAGTAGGAACATGCAGCCTAAGTCCCAGGAAAAAAGTGAACAAAGCTATTAATATAGTGTGTGGGTGATTTTTATTTATACAGATAAGAATGTTTTATGTATGATTTTCTAAAGGTTATGCAAGAACCAATTGTACTGAATTGTAATAAAACTGCTCTATCCTGAGAATTTCCCTGACACACTGCCAGTTCATCTTAGAGGAGGCTAGAAACAATAGGGTTTCTTGCTGCCCTTATCCTAAGTTCATACTGAAAACAGCTAATTGGTCTCTATTAAAACATACAATGTACAGGAAAACTAAACAGTTCATTTTAGTTTGTGTGTCTGAAAAATACAAAAAGGCAAGGAAATATGAATCTGCCTTTATTGCATGCCAGTAAAACTTACCATTTAATAAAAACATTGTCTTACAGAATATATCTGGACTTTTTGATTGTCTTTATTATTTATGATTTCACCTTAATTTTTATATCAAGTATTTCAATGGTAATACATATGAAAAATATGAAGTTAATTCATACCCTAGAGAAGAAAAATCATCCGTGTTCTAACAAAGTGTTGAAAGTTAGTACACATTTTAAACAAGTTATAGAAATACGAATGCTCTTGCAAAGTTCTGCATCCATGAACCTCAAAAACATGAAGGGAGAGGGGGAAAAAAAACATATTGTATGGTTCATTTATAAAATTCATGTACAATGTCTTAGTCACTGTTCTGCTACTGGGACAAAATCCAACGCCCACAATGTAAAGGAGGAGAGCCTTATTTGGCTCACAGATTCAGTCCTGGTTGGCCAGCTCCCAGGGAGAAACAGGATAGCAGAGGGACACAGCTGTGGGAAGATGCTCAACCCATGGCAGCCAGGGAGCAGAGAAAGGAGGGAGGGACTGGAATAAGAATGTATTTCTCTGGGTCTCACCCACAGTGACCCACCACCAGCCAGTATATCCAGCTATGAATTCATCAATGGATGGACCCACAAAGGAGCACAGTGACCACATAATCCAGTCACCTTCCAGAGACATGGGACTTTGGGGTGATATTTGAGATCTAAACCACAACAGTATGGGGTTAGAAAGTAGTTAGGGTTAGTGGAGGAGGTAGACTGGAAAGGGATAGATGGGTATTTTCAAGGGTGAGGACAATACATTGCCTTGTCAGGGATGTCAGTTACCAGGTATACATTTGTCAAATTCAATCCCAGTGCATTTTTCTTTAAAAAAAAAAAAAAAAAAAAAAAAAAAAAAAAAAAAAGGTTACACATGGTATTTTCAGTACTTAAAACCACTGCATTTTACTTTAAAATGTAATTATATTGTCAGTCAATAGTAATCACTGGGTGACCGTGGTACTGTAGACTCTCACTGTAACTAATTTTAACTATGAGCTTATGTATCCCTACTATATGACACAGAAAATGATTTTTTAAAGCCATGTGTATTATTCAGCATTTATTATTTTGTCTCACTACAACACTGAGATAACTTAGTTTTCACTTTCAAGATTAATTTTGGAGAAATTTACTCATAGCAAAAACATAAATTATAAGTTTATATCATAAAATATAAATCTAAGATATTCTGTTTCTGAAAACTTGGTAATTTCCAGCAGAAAAGTAGAACTGAGTTTAATTTTCAAATACTTGTAGGACTTACAAAACCAAAGCATTCTAATTAAGCAGAATACAGCAAGTTCATTAACTTTAACTTGGGTAGAAAAATTAATATTTACTAGGTGGACTAAACTTCATTTTCTTTTCCTCATGTAAACACAAACTAATTACTTACAGTGGGCAGACCCTGAGTGGACACAATGCTGTTTAATAGGAATAGTCACATGAAAAAGAGTTATGACCCTGACTGGAGATAGTAATAATCCTTTGAGATTACAGGCCTTGCAGCCTCCACCAACTCTACACATGCCTTTAACATGGAGAGGCATTTGCTGATGGAATAGGACTGTAATTTTGTTCACATCAGTATAATTTCTACAGTTACTTTCATAACAAATTGCTAAATTATAATATTTATAAATAGTTTGAAATGACGATTGGTAATTACTTACAATTTAAAGTACTAATCAAGAGCATCAGTTTAGTTCCATTCAATCCAGCTATTCCCCTCCTGCGTATTTTCCCAGAAAAACTGAAAAGGTCATATCACAACAATATATGTGCACCTATGTTCATAACAGCACAATTTGTAATAGCTAAATCTTGGAAACAACCAAGATGCCCATCACCCACAGAATGGATGAAAAAGATGTGGTATTTGTATACAATGGAATACTACTCAGCTATAAAAAGGATGATCTTGAGGCCTTCATAGGTAAATAGAGACAACTTGAGGCTATCCTCATTAGTGAAATATATAAGGATCATATTTATAAATATCACATTGTGTCTCTAATGTAAAAAGTAATAATAATTGTAGGAGTAATAAAATTCAAAGTGTAACTGCTATTATAAAAAAGAGGAAAAGCAAGTGCTCTAAAGGATACAAATGAATGTATTTTTTTTTTTTTAAATCGGTACCAGGGATCAAACTCACAACTGCCGGCTGAGCTAAATCCCCAGCCCCCAAATGAATGTATGTTTAAGTGTATAGAATTGATAACCATATTAACTACTTTTTTTTGGATAGTTGAACAGAACTGTTTGCAGTCTCACTGTTT